TGAGTAAATATATTTTTAATCAATTTCCAGGGTGTAGCTGCTTACCAAGTGACACAGGAGCCACTGGATTGGACACTGGCCTGGGTATCGAACCAATCAGGATCTTTTTGTATACGCCAATTAAGTAGCCTACAGAGTACAAGTAATTTCTTTTTGTGTGCGGGGTGTCGTGACATAGGCAAATTAAACATACAACTAAACTTCTAAAAGTAAAGATATAAGTACAAAAAAAGCAGAATAAGGCAAAAAAATAAGTCTTTTACAAGATGGGGCAAGCATGTAGACCGCGAAGACACGAGTGCAAAAACATCGACGTCGCTTGCTAAAAATAAAATCACGTCGTAGGCTACATATCTACAAGCAGATATAAAACAGATCAATTCAGACTGCATCGCTTTTGCGCCACTGCGTTGAAATTAGAATTGAATGCAGGTAAAACATTCAGTCCACAAGATTCACCCGTAAAAACCAAAGAATTCACACTAAAATTAATAATGAGAAAAGGACTTAATAACCGGTCACTTGCTGACGTGTGATATTTTGTCTGGCCGTGGGTAGTTGGGGACGTCCAAAAAAATTTGTTCAGAAAAATCAGCGTGAACTTGACCTTTTTCCCTTTCCTGGAATAAACGTACTCATTGTATGCCGACTATATTGCTTGTGGGGACAATGTTCACTTTCATCTTTTGCATCTTGCATACTTTCACCTAAGGGGACAGGTCATGTTTTGCGTAGAATATACATAATTTTGTTTCTCGTCATTGTTGCCTGGTGGTGTTTTGTCCCCCCACCCCCCACGTTTCTTATTAATTATTTTTTTAACCTGATGGATGAAGATAGCTGAAGCTTCTCCCAGGGCTGTAAGCATGAGACGGTATGCAGACTTTTGGCTGAGTGGGCAGCCGCCGTGATGAAAGTTTACTGGCAGAACCACCACATGTGGGGAGAGGAGTTTTCCGTTCTCTCTGTTGGCAGGAGATTCCAGGTACCCAACAGTCAGAGACCCACACAGACGTGAAAAGAAGCTGCCTTCCTATTGTCACCCATCTGTCGTCACACACCTGGAGCGCTGAGAGATACAGTTTCCTTTGGGGTAATACAAGTCTCATTATCCTGATTCTAAACGATGTTATGTAAGTTTTGTGTAGATATCAAGCCCAAATCCCCTCACCCCCCCCCATTCTACACTTAGTGAAATTTTACTATGTGTCACCACTGGTGATCCAAGTTCCCCCGGAGACCTCCCCACTGATTCTACAAATATGAGTTGTGTTTCATAATCCCCAGAGAAAATCTTTGTGGCCCGTGCCAGTAAGAACCAGAGTAGCCCCGCCCTGGGGGGGGGGCGGCGGTTGTCGAGCAGAGAGTCTTTACTTCCTGGATCACGGTTTTATAGAACTCATAACCGCTATGATTCACCAAAATGTTTATGCAAATGAATGATGTCTGGAGAGCATGAAATTAAGTCAGCTCTATAAAAACCACTGCTGGCGATGAGGTCATCAGAGGCTTAGCAGGTCAGCCAACCGGCTTGGCTTGAACGTGCTGCCCTGACACACCGCAGCATGTCACCATGCTGGAGAGGGAATTCTGGGAACTCCAGTGATGTGAGGATGTGTTCGTGTGAAAGGACTCGAAGATGTTGTCTAGGACCAAAGCTGTATGTTTCTCCAGACACGCAAAAACACACAGAAGCACAGACCCAAATTGATGCACGCACCTATTAATGAAATCACATGCACATTTATGGAGATCCATATATATATACCTCCAGCATTAATTAGATACGTATGTTAGCTCACACACACAAGCTGCCCCTCCAAACCGCCAACAAATGTGGCTGCAACTGAATGTACACAAAATACAGATGGGTAAAGAGGTTCAGTTACCATGTGGCTGAGCCTTAGAACAGCTCCTGCCTGGTACTATCTTGGTGTCCCTAATAAAGTGGGTCCTCCCTGGTACTATCTGGGTGTCCCTAATAAAGTGGGTCGTCCCTGGTAATATCTGGGTGTCCCTAATAAAGTGGGTCGTCCCTGGTAATATCTGGATACCCCTAAGAAATAGTTCTGTAATAGCACCTAGTACTAGTTACCCCTTGGCTCATGCCCTGTTCTTTCATGGATTGGCTTCAGGATGATGGATAATGGCCTATGGAAGATGGACGAGTGGTAATAATAATAATAATAATAATAATAATAATAATAATAATAATAATTATGATGATGATGATGATGATGATGATGATGATAATAATAATAATAAGGAAGGTATGGCTGTATTGTCTGGAGAAATGAAACCTAAAATAATTCTAGAACCTTTTCTTAGTGGTTTTTCTACTAATGACTTCACAGAGTTTAATGTTCATCAGTGGATTCACGTTGTTTGTATGTATTGCTTGTATGTACAGCGATACAGTCTGAGGGACAGTCCCTGGAAGGTGCATGAGTAACATTCATAACTCCCGCCCAGGTGGAGGGAGAGGCCCCGGGGAAATTTGGAGAGATGGTACTAAAACGGGTGCCCGGCTCCTTCGCTCTCAGAACCAGGCTGGAGGAGGTCGCTGAGGGCTCTGCTGTGGATCCTCCGCATGCAGTGACACATGACACTAAGGAAGTTGTATCTACCGATTCTTAGAATTCTGGGCCGACCAAAGCAGGAAGGATGTGGAACCAATGTGGAGACAGGTAGGGTGGGGAGGTAGGTTTCCAACAGTTTTTAACAAGTCTTTAATTCATTTTAGTTTTATAATAAATTTATAATTAGTTTTTTTACTCTGGAATACACTGATACAATGAATAAAGACAACATGTTATATAAACAATTTCCACAATCAATAAGCATCAGATTGAAGAACAAACTGTAAACAAAGTCTAACAGTTTACATCTTAAAGAAATCATGATGGTTTGTGGCAAATAACGTGTAAATTAGAATGCTTCTTTTAACTATACTTTTATACTTTGCAATATATCATGAACAAAACTGGAAAACTCAGGTAAAGCTGCATTTGTATTAAAATAACCTGGCAAATATAGAGATGCTTCATGTAGAAAGCAAAATGTTTCAAACTAATTATAGATGTATCAGCAATTAAATAATCACGCCGGGATTAACTATGATGGTTTTTGAAATTCATATGTGGAACAATTGAAAAAGTTAAACAAGATGGTGGTTTTATTCATTAAGAAAGGAAGTAGTCGTTTTACTGTTAACTGTCAAAGTAATTCACAGGAAATACATGCTCGGCGTAGTCTTAGATGCGACTTCTCTATTTTTAAACTGTAAGGCATGAGTGTCGACAACGCACCGGACTGGGGAAGGTGCGCTCAGCTTTGATCCTTACCAAGTGCACGTCGTGCAGAGAGAAGTGTTTCAGCAGCATGGATGAGGATGAGAAAGAGGCAATCCGCTAAACACATGAACAGTTTCGGTTTTACCACAAAGGCTGAATGTCAGGGCAGCAGCGCGGCGCCTGTAACTACACGGCAAGGATCATTTTCCTGACAAGCGCGTGGTCAAAGCGGTTCATGGACAAAGCAGGTTTCTATTAGTGAAAACTGAATTTAAAATCTGACTTGATTTGGTTTCCAGATAAATCCGGTTCTTGGAGTGTCCTAGATGTCAGTGCTCACCCAGTACTCAGTGTATGATCTGTGTGATAAATACTATACAGCTACATCTGACTACTGGGTCAGTAACGACATTACTGTCTGCGCAAAGGCAATGAAAACGACACGCGGGGAGCAACAGCAAAGATGTCAAGTTCTTTTCAACAATAAAACGATGAATGATGAAATAAGCCGTTTATGTACACGTTTCTTTTATTCAGTGGAATATAAAGTGAAATTCTCTATGAAAGTAAATCTCAGCCCAACTGGCAGTCTATTTTGTACGTAGTTTGAACTAGGTCTTATATATGATATACAACTGTTGTGTTGTTCAGAAAGGCATTTAATGTATATTGCACGGTGAAACCTTATGAGAGCATCTAAAATGGCAAGAAAACCATTGTACTGTTCTGTAAACAAATAAAGGGTTTTAAAGTTGTATTTCCAATGACAACGCTCATTTTTTGGTACTGTTGTGTTGTTCAGAAAGGCATTTAATGTATATTGCACGGTGAAACCTTATGAGAGCATCTAAAATTGCAAGAAAACCATTGTACTGTTCTGTAAACAAATAAAGGGTTTTAAAGTTGTATTTCCAATGACAACGCTCATTTTTTTCGGCTGTGCAAGGAGTTTGAATCATTTTAAACGCCAAAAAAATCCAAAACGTCATGTCAAGATTATACACCTGTTCGCACATTCACAAAATGGGTGAAGTTATGTTCAATTTAGTTTTACATTAAAACTTTAACCGGAGAAGTAGCTAATGATCTTTGACCATTCTCTTTATGTGCTGCTTAATATTTTAAATGCTTAAATTTCTATGAAGTTTCCGCCCCATCGTCCATATATAATTTCATTTCATTTAATATAATGTACTAACATTATAAAGGAAAAGTTACATCAATGACTAAATATGAAATAGCTGCCACATATGCTAAAGCATAATGCACATGTCAAAGCAACCAAATTAATCGCCATAAATATTTTGGGTAATAAATGTATGGAACTATACCGCTATAACTATTTAAAATGCCTGATTGGCTTTCACTCAGAAAAAAATATGTATTTTCCTCAGATCCAACATATCTCATTAGATTAAATGAAATTTGATCAACTTTATTGATCCCAGAAGAAATATTTATTTTCTTTTCCAAAGGATATTTCACTTCACGTTTTTAAAACATGCCTATATATGTAGTTTCATATTTATTCTTTCGTTTTACATCTACAATAACGACTGCCTTATATTATTGGGAATGATGTACCCAGTAACAGATCTAGTAGAACAGTGACTAATTTATCATGTCGGCGTAAACTCCGAATGAAGTTGTGTCAAGGAGAGCGGAAATTTATAAAACTTTCTGGGATTTCCCATATGATTTCAAGAGAAATTTATTCATACTCCAGGACACTGGGGGCAGCATTCACTGAATTTAAGACTGTAAAAAAGCGAAGATTTGGCGGAAGTGAATGTGGGTTGAGGTGGATTTATTACCAGGTTTGAGCAGATTGAAAATGGCCGAGAAAAAGAAAGGTGAGTAGCTTTCGCTTTTATAAAATATGTGTGTTTACGTAATTCTTATTGTTAGTCAGTGTTCAAACGGTGCAGTTAGTAATTCATATAGGGCTGCGTCATTTACATGCTATTTAATGCGTAACTTTTGGGTAATTTACCTGGAGATAGTTAGTCGTCATTTAACGATCCAGTGATCCAGTCGCATTTGCGTTTTTCTGGCTAAGACCTTGTAAAAGTGCGTCAGAGGGTGTAAAATACGTATAACTGGATTTTTTATTATCTGGATAAATGACCCATCTCCGTCTGGGCTGATCAGATGTGGGTAAACTACTCAGTCAGAGAGGATATCGTCCTGGGATGAGTTGCTGGGTCGTTATGAGGCAGTTAGGATAACTAGGCGTTTGTTATACAGATTTAGGAGGGATCAGTATGGCCTATTAAAATTTACGATTTAATCTTTCTTTAAATAAAAAAAAGTGAATCAAATTATAGTCATGCCGTATGCATGCTAATTACTGTAAATATGTGATTAATGAAGCATATTTTTGTTAGTTTCCGGGTGAGATCAAATATGCATAAAACACATATAATTGCATTAAGATAACGTTCAATACTGGGAAGTTATCAAGGTTCCTGTCGACATTTAATTTTAAAATGTGTGAATCCTGTAATATAAATTGCTTGATATGTAAGAATGACAGTACTGGAAATAAGGAGTTCTTTCAAGAACCACGGTGCCTTTTAAGTTAAAAATAAAGAGCGTGGAAATGCATGTAAATCTTGTGGAGAAGGTCACACAGCATTTTGAGAGGGACCTGTTAGTTGCCTCTCACTCTTCAATATTCGGCTTGTGGTGTAATTGGAAGGTGCTCGATTCTAACTGGGTTTGGGTCACGGCTGCTCATATCCGATCTCCTGACCAGGCCGCCGTCGAACGTCTCCTGCTGAAAACGATACCAGCGGCCATCTGTTCGCTGCCGTACACTGGCTATTTTTGGGCCATATATTTTGATGTCTGACAGGAGGGATGAAGTCAAGGTCAAATTGCCTTCAGAAAATCAAGGCTGCCCACTCAATATTCATTCAGCTCCTGGGTTCTGCCGGGGCGTGGAATTTCCTTGCAGTCACCTGACCTGTAGAGGCTCCATTTTTGACTTCGTTATCCCATTTGAAATGCTAATTCCTGGTCTCCTGACTGCAGTTTCTTTATCGCAGAGTATAACATGCATATTTTATACATTCATAAAGACTGTGAAAAATGTGTTTGTGTCATTTTAAAATCAATTAACCCGGCAATGCTCCCCTTCAAACACTTAGGTTGGTAAAACTTTATTTTGTATTACTCATAATATAATAATACAAGTAACATTGGTACGGTATCAGAACATAAGAAGAACATCATAAGAACATACATTTCTTTTGAATTATGATTGTGAGTGCAAATATTGTAATTCTTATAGTCACAGCTAGCAAATAGTGTAGATGATGCCGTTTAAATGTTTAGGATGGAAAAACAACTTAGGATGCATCTACATGAAGATGGATGACTTGTTTTGGGGGAAATTCAGAGTAATATGTTTGGTGTGCCTGTTTATTAGTGTTTATATACAAATGATGAAATGATCCTTTTGGCATTTGCACAAGTACTTTGCAATGCTGCTCTGGTGCAGATTCCACCCTTTATCAGGCATCCCTGTGGCATTTAGGGGAGATAATGGCTTTGCTCAAGAGCCCGACAGAGATGTGACTGTTAAGCCGAGGCTTGAACTGGCGACCTTTTGATCACAGGCAAACGGGGGCACACAGGCTTAACCGGTTGAGCCACAACCCTCCTTGCGGGCCTTATTATTATCTGTCCTGTTTTAAATGATGTTGAGGAGTCATCCCAGCGTAAAGCCTTAAAGTTATGTTGCCATGGTAACCAGTTAAAGATGCTTTCTTTTTAGGAAAGGATGAAGAAATGTTTGACGTCATCGACCTGGCAGAGTACGCCAAGAAGCAGAGATGGTGGAACAGAGTTTTTGGCAACAACAATTCTGGGCCAATCGCAGAGAAATACTCTGTGGCTACACAGCTCGCGATTGGTGGCGTGACCGGCTGGTAAGGCCGTCCGGGGTAAGGGGGCCTTGGATAGTGTCTTTCCATCTAGGTTGTTCTGCTGGGAGTTGTCTAGTTTTGGAGATATTCGACCGTAGAAATGCTGGGCTTCTCTCAAATATATTCGCCGGGATGCTCGTGCTTGAATCTTCCGCGCAGTCATACGATTGGTGTCTGCAGTTTGGTAGGAAAAAAATCGTGTCTACAATAAACTGCTCACTGCAAAGTCTGTGGATTAAGAAACCAGGCCATGATTTCTGGCAGGAGACATTGCTGTTGAATTTTTCAAATGTAATTTTAGGCGCTTTTCTTTTATATTTTATATATTGATACTTGTATTTCTATTGCATGTTAATACCTGTGTAATGGTGACAAGTGATGTGACAATAAAAGTGATTTGATTGGATTAAACACCGCAGAAAGAATTCCATTAAATGCCTTTCATTCCTATTACATTTTACAGAATACTGACACTTCTACAGCCAAAATCTGCAAAACTAGGCAACTCACAGTAGAACAACCTTGATGGATAGGTAACATTAAAGCAGCTCAGTTTTGGCAAGAACTGCCCCTTTAAGGGTGTGCATGAAATTAAGCACTTTGACAATGATTATATGGTGAAACCATGTTTGACTGTGGTCTTTGCCCCTGACTGGTGTAGGTGTGCAGGGTATCTATTCCAGAAGGTTGGGAAGCTGGCAGCTTCTGCAGTGGGTGGTGGTTTTTTCCTGCTTCAGGTAAACGCACCAATGTCGCAGTGGATAAATAATATGAAGCTTTTATATCCGGTTATGGAGAGCAACTGATTTTTTCCATTATCATAGGCTCGTGGGAGTTTTACTTACACATGAATGTTCTGAGGGCAGAATGAAAAATGATTGGTTAAGAAGAGAACCAATCAGACTGCAGAGGAGGTGGGTCTAAGCAACTAGAGGAGGCGGGACCTAGACATCTGATTGGTTTGTCTGACATCTGACCTAGATTTGACTGGTTATCTCTGTCAAGCATTTTTTTGTCCTGCCCTTAGAACCTTTTTGCGCAAGTTAAACTACCATGAGCCTGTCGTAGGGTGCTGCTGTACACCAAAGCACAGCTAGATGTCATAAACATTTTTTTTTTTTGTCTTGCTTTAGATCGCCAATCACACTGGCTACATCAAGGTGGACTGGAAGAGAGTGGAGCGGGATGTGAACAAGGCTAAAAAACAGCTAAAGCTGAACGCGGAAAGGCCCCCCGCAGAAGTACGGACGAAAGTGGATGAGGTGAGCGGCAGCCGTGTGGCCGAACGAGGAACTGCGGCCACTTCAGGTGGCAGCATTAAGATGATGTCATTATGGTAGCAGAGTGTTTGTCATCATAATGCGCCTTGCATTGCGCTCAGAGCTGACGGGGACGTTCTCTTTCTCAAACAGGTGCAGACTTTTATCAAGAAGAACATCGTTCTCACTGGAGGCTTTGCCGGAGGGTTTCTCCTTGGACTGGCATCTTAGAGTCTTTCCTGTTTTTTTTTCAGCTTGTACATCATCTAAAGTCAGGTTTAGTGTTTTGGGTGTAAAAACCATCATTGCTGTATCTTGTACCGAACTGTAATCCAGAAGCTTAAGGGATGATGAAGTCTTTTAAGAGAGAAGTTCATAGGGTTGGTCAAAGAAAGCACTAGAGCTGCTGTGATTGACGGGTCACTGAGGATTGTATGTTTAGAGCATATATTCATATTTTAATCATTGTGTGGTTGTGTTTCACCCTATGAAGGACCCTGTCCTGCTTTTTCAGGATGATGCTGGGCCTGGTGTTGAAGTACAAAAGAATATCTAAAATATGCACTTAAAAAAAAAAAAAAAAAAAAAATTAAAATACCAGTTTAACTCTGCTTTTTTCCCCCCCACACATTTTAGACACAACGGACCGCTCTTATGTTCCCAAAATATCACACAAAAAAAGGTTCATTTGATGCTTATAATCATAAGGATGTTGAGATCTAAATTGCATTGTTGAGATCTAAATCTGCATTGTTTTATCGTATCTGAAATGCAGAGGGCAGCACCTGTGTTTGGCACATTAACAGCTGTGTGTTTCACCTCACCTTCAACAAAATGAATCTCGGCCAAACACTACACTGTCTTTATGACTACGGCCTGATTCTGAAAGAACTGTATATCTTAGTGATTTATTTTTCAGAAATTGGAATGATTTCCCCAAATCTAAGACTGCAGTGATTCATTGATTCCCCTCACTTTGTTCACTATTTAAAATATTCACTATATACCTTTTTTTTCACTTGCTCACTCCCAAATCACATTCTGATCCTGCAGTCAGCCCATTAACCATTGTATGCCTGGCTCTTCTTATCCAATCAAATGTTGCCTTTATGATGCATGCTACCACAGTGGCCTGTGTGTTTGGAAGTGATTCTCAGGATTGTGTTCTGGTTCGATGTGGACTTAAGGGTGAAGATGCCTCTGAACGGAGCATGTTGCAACTAGCAGTAGATTTTTGTTTTTTTAATTAAAAAAAGGCTCACGTTAAAGGACCCTCATTTCCCTCACTTCCGGTTTAAGTATATATTGATTTAATATCACCAAGTTTAAATGCTGACGGTAGAAAAGCTTGTACCGAGGTACTTGATGTTACTTGTTTAAAATATGTTAGGAAAAGTCGGGCAGAATCATTCCCATTGTAGATTGTGCAGAAACTAAATTGAAGTCATTTTATTTCAATATGAGGTTGCTCCAGTGAAAAATAAACTACATACATATTTATAAAACGACGCCTTTCATTTGTTGTCCTTAATATATTTATTTTACGGTAGGCAAGACAAACTTCATAAACAGGCAGACACTGGGTAGGAGGAGGAAAGGACCTCATTGTTTTCCGCGGTCTTGTTCTTCTTCCGGAATCCCGAGCAACAGACCGACTTCTCCGCAGCGTGTTGCTGGCAGCAGTGCCGCATCTCTCGGATCACGTCTTCGCAGCGGCTTTCCATGTATTTATTCTCTGGGTGCAAGTTGCCCACGAAAGACAGCTTAGACACACACGTAGCTAATATCAATATTCTGTTTAAGCAAGAAGTAAGCACCCTTCCTTTAAAATATATATTTTATTGGGCTTTTACGCTGGCATATTCATAGAGTAAAACAGAAGTATAAGAGTTAGTCCCAATCATTAATTACTAATCATGCCCAAATCTACTGAATACCTTCAAATCCTTAACTCTGATCATCCGCCGCTCAACACCCTTCCTCCTTTTTTTTTTTTTTAAAAAAAGAATGTTTGCGGTGATCAGGTCTATACCTAGCGGATTAATTGTTTTGTAGTAAATTTCAAAACGGTCAAATGACCTGTTGTATTACAAAATACCAGAAATGGGTGCCCTATACACAGTGGCGAAACCGAATTAACAAAGTAAATTAATTGCTATAAGGTTATGGATGTTTGTAAATGCTCAAGTCAGGTCAGATTAAGTCCAGCTTTACCTTTTAAGCATTTCTGAATTTCACAGGCTTGCTTCTGACATGGATCTTTTTTTCGAGACATATTCTACACCTGGTGAAAGTGACAAACGACTCAGTAGTCATGCATCACGAGTGTGATTAATACTATTTCCACTTCCCTAAATATCTTCTACATGCTATTCAAATGAGCAAAACAACGCCACATATGAACGATCGGCATGCATTCACTTACTGCATCACAACATGTACCACCTTATTTACTAAAAAAGACTCATGACGAGGTGTCCTCTTTATAGAGGTCCGACTAGGAAACATCCCTGCCAATGTCATTAAAGCTGTCAGTGAAAAGCTGCACTCCTTTGTAGCTTTATTCTATCAAATAGCTATTATATGTAAGTTTTAATTAATTTAAATATCACAAAGTCACTAAATAGACCATTATACTGGTGTTATATGAAGTTTTGCTATTTATTATTTATATGTTGTTTCCCAACGGAATTATTTCCATGAAACCACGGAAGCCGTGCTAGATAGGGAAGTGTCAAAAAGCCGAAACGGCTAGTCGCTGTGAGGACTGGTTAAGTGTATTAAAAACATACACGTACGGTGGTGAGGCGATCTCTTTTGGTTATTGATATTATCCAAGTTTATAGGCTCAGGTTACTATGGCAGTGAGTGCCGTTCACCTGGAGTCGGACGCCTTTTTGGTGTGTATGAATCACGCGCTAAGCACCGAAAAGGAAGAAGTGATGGGACTTTGCATTGGAGAGGTGCGGTGTCTGTTATTAACTGACGACTGAATATCCCTGTCAGGATCACATGCCTGATTCTGTGTGCCGTGCTTGCATATCTTTTACGATGTTTGTGGGCAGCAGATTAGCTGCATCCCGTGTGCTTCCCGCCGAGGTAAACCCCCCTCCCTCCGGTCAAGGCTCTGTGGGAGTATTTGCGTAACGCTGCTGCTTTAAATGCTTTAAATAATATTATAACATGCGCAGTTGTAGATTTAAATGACCAGTTTCCTGAACGTACGTTTAAATCTGACATTTAAATTGTGTGAATCTGTGGGAACATTCACAGAGTACAATCCTGTTATTTTAACTGTTGTCCTACATATCTTGGAAATCTCAACATATTTTGCAGGGTAAAGAGATTATTTTTTCCCCCATCGTTTCCAGGAAAGAAATTCCAGTTGATATGTTCTACCTTTTCTAAGAAAACCTTTAAGAACAAACGGGTAACGCAGTTTTACCGAACTGTGAGGTCAGGGGGTTTCGAACAAATTAAAATTTATGTTGTTGGGTTGTTCTCTTTCACCATGATGACTGGTTAAGGGGATCCACTGTTGAATACTATAGGTCACACGTCAACTATGACTGGTTCAACAGGAAATTTTCATTTGGGGAAATTATTGCATGTGAGGTCCTCACACAAATGTAACCGTTTTGGCAGGTGGACACAAATCGTATCGTCCACATTCACTCTGTGATTATATTACGGCGCTCGGACAAGAGGAAGGATCGTGTGGAAATCTCACCGGAGCAACTATCCGCTGCCTCCACTGAAGCAGAGATATCCTTAAACTGACTGGATTTGTGATATTTACATTCCTAGTGACCATCCCCTCTGTGAGTCCCAGTGTAGTGCAGTGTTTCCCAACCCGGTCCTCAGGCACCCACATTCAGTCCACGTTTTTGCTCCCTCCCAGCTGGGAGCAAAAACATGGACTATATGGCAGGGAGCTGGGAGGGAGCAAAAATGCGGACTGAATGTGGGTCCCCAAGGACCGGATCGGGAATCCCTGGTGTAGTATATTTACGGACACTTGTGTTGACAGTGTGGCACGTTTCTATTTTCATCTGTACATCTTAGTCATTCTCATCCCTAGCTAGAGCGATTCCATGTTTCCCTTCCATAGCCATCCACCACTCCTTGATGGAATGTGAGAATCACTCACCAGAGTGGCTGTCGAATCTCCTTAATTTGAAGCACAGGTTGGCTGAGATGACGGGACGTCCCATGAGGGTTGTGGGGTGGTACCACTCGCACCCCCACATCACCGTGTGGCCGTCACATGTTGGTACGTTCCAAGCTTGACCTTAGGTGCCCGTGTCTTTGCCTGCTGTGATTGTTAAGCATGTCTTTAGGTACTGGGCCAGGCTGACAGGTTCACAAAAACATATGTTTGGATCAGTGGAGCTGGTTAATCTTTGAGTTGTTTGCAAGATGCCTTCAGCACTTAAAGTCAAAGCCAAAAATCTTAAGAGTCTGGATTGGGAACTTGGCATCTACACATTTTCTGTAGATTCATTCATATGGCATCAATATGACAAACTATTTAATAACACAGGAAGTTGGAGAATTTGTGTCCTTGTGTCGTCATGTGGTGCAACTCTCCCCCACAGATGTGAGGACTCAGGCGATGTACCAAATGATGGATCAAGGTTTTGTAGGGCTGATTTTCTCTTGCTTCATAGAGGATAAAAACACAAAGGTCAGTACCACAAACCCCAAATAACACACATTTCTTCTAGACCCACTGTTTCACTTATTAGGACATCCTTAGACAATAACATAACAGTATAAGCCAGTGGTTCTCAGCTGCTTTGGCCCCAGGACCCATATTCATGTACACATTCCATGACCCTTTAAAAATGGCCCCGCGATTCACTTTCGGATCACTATCCACCTGTTGAGAATCAGTGGTTTAGACCATGCAGTCAGCTAACCAGGCACTGATAATGTGTACAAATGCAGTGAGAAGCATGTCTCAGTATGAAAAGATTGATTAAGGTGATCTTTTGCAGACAGGCAGAGTCCTTTACACCTGCTTCCAGTCTGTACAAGCGCAGAAAGGTTCAGAGTAAGTTTGGTCTGACATTGCGTTTTGTCGCATTGAACTGTCAGTGTAACTGTGACGTGTGTGAATTAAACCCAGATATTCCGCTGGAACATGGATGAATACTGTTCAGGATGTGAGACTGCAGAACGGCAGTGCCAAGTGTTTGTGTTCTGCACCCGAGGTATGAGAGAATCGAGATTCCGATCCACGTGGTCCCACACGAAGCCATAGGAAAAGTATGCCTGGAATCTGCGGTGGAACTACCCAGAATCCTCTGCCAGGAGGAACAGGACACCTACCGACGGATTCACAGGTGCCGTGTTCATGTTGTGCTCCTCCCCGTTCTCATTTGCTAAACGTAGCTGGTCACTGGGTTTATTTTAAATTATAGGTTCGGAATTGCTTTCAGTAAACATCCTTTCTGCCTGTTATTTACACTTTCTGAAAGCTCTGGTGTAGGTGCCACACTAAAGGGATTGCAGAATGGATTGGTATAGAGAGAAGAAAGGAGGATTTATCCTGTAACTCCCGTTTTGCCAATTTGCTCTGGGACCCTGCGAGCTGAATGGTTTTACAGAAAGCATCCTGCTTGGGCCTGTCGCAGGAACTGGACCGAGACGTACTCAGTCTCCACGTCGCTGTGGGACTAGGGCCCAGCTTAAGGGAACAGGTCATCGGGAAATGGGAAATCAGGACTTAATCAACTGGTCGTTCCTTTTTCAGCCTCACTCACCTGGATCCGATTACGAAGATTCACAACGGCTCAGGTACCCTTGCAGTTTAATTTGTACATGATATGATATGATATCGTCTGCACACAGTGCAGTTTATATTATTTGATATTCGGCATGTTAATCTGGATTTCAATGCATCCTGAAGTATTTGGTCAGGCTGTAGAAGATTTAGCTACGCTGTATGGACAAAAGTACTGGGACGCCTGGCCTTTACACCTACAGGAAATTTTATGGCATCTGATTCTAAATCCATAGGAATCAATATGGAGCTGGTCCCCCCTTTGCAGCTATAACAGCTGCCATTCTTCTGGGAAGGCTTTCCACAAGATTTTGGAGTGTGTCTGTGTGTGGGAATTTTTTTCCAGAGGAGCATTTGTGAGGCCAGGCACTGATGTTGGACGTGAAGGTCTGGCTCACAGTCTCAGTGATCCCGCTCTGTTAATTTACATGGTTCGCCACTTTGCAGAGTTTCTGTTGTTCGTAAATGTTTCCACTTTGCAATAATACCGCTTACGGTTGACCGTGAAATATCTGTCAGAGAAGAAATTTCACATACTGACTTACTGCAATGGTGACATCCTATGACAGTACCACTCCTGAACACCTGTGGCAAAGGGTCTGAATGACACACCTGAATTCAGTGATTAAGAGGTCTGTCTCAGTACTTCTGTCCATATAGTGTACAATAACAGAAGGTATCCAGATAGATTCTAAGAGCGGATAACCTGAGCTGAGAGATGGCCGTTGTCTCATCGCCCTGACCCTGATCTCCTCCCTAACTCTAGTCTTCACCAAGAACCTGTGCAGCCAGATGTCAGCTGTCAGCGGCCCCCTGCTTCAGTGGCTGGAGGACCGTCTGGAGCAGAACAAGCAGAGCATCTCTGAGCTGCAGAGCCAGAAAGAGCGCTTAATGCAAGAACTGGCCACCATGTGAGGGGCGGGCCCGCAGGCCACGCCCTCCCTCTCCACACCCTCAGGATTCTGACTGGGCCAGACTTCTCCATGCCCCGCCTTTGTCCTAATAAGGCATCGTGGCTCCACCCCCTTAGAAATGTTCTTGTAATTCCCCTCCTTTCCCCACTGACTCCACCCCCACCATCCATTACGTTGTTCCACAAGGCACCCCTGGTACTCCAGCCAAGACAGCCGGCTGATAATCTGAAAGAGCGGGGAGATGGAGCAATATGAGGTGCTTTTGTGTCTGGAAAGGGTCTAGTGGCTTCTCGTAGATGATGTGATTTTGAGGTTTATGGTTGCCTCCTCAGATGTGCTGACTGTGTTCCTCAGCCTGTGCAGATAACAGAAAACTGTGGAAATTTCTTCTGGAACCAGCGCATTATTTCGACACTGGGTGACATGTGATTTAAGTCACTGAATGTATTTATATTATTTACATAGCGATCTGTAATGTTTTGGTTGTTACTTAAACTGTTTCTTGCCCGAATGTGATTACAGTGCTTTGAATCTCTTTGTTGAAAAATCAGTTTTTGTTTGCAATGTAAGTGCTGCCTGGCTGTTTCTCATGATCCAGGGTGGATTGGATGTAGCTTGGGGGAATCAAAGCACAAGGTCAGCCAAGATGTAGCACCCCTGGAGCTGGGGGTTAAGGCCCTTGAGTAGGCGTCCAATGAGAGCCTCAGTTAGTCAGCTGGCCCTGGGATTCAAACTGGTGACCTTCCGATCATGGACATAGCAGCTTATCTTGCTGATCCACACATCACCCCTTAACACAGGGGTGTCAAACTCCTGTCCTGGGGGGCCGGAGCCCTATGTAGCTTAGTTCTTTCCCTGGTCCCCCACAAATGATTCGGCTATTCGGATATTTATTGAATATTTCGAACAACTGAAATCAGAGCTCAAATCGCTTGAAATGAAAACGTCTAATGAAAAAGGTCACATAATAGTTTTAACGTAAAAGGCAAGTTCCCAAAAGAAGTAGGAAACGAATAGTTTGCATTTCTTGCAAACAAAATAAACCGTTTATAGCGATCACGTCTGTCTGGGTGAAATTGTTCGCTATAAGCGGATGATCGTTATAACTGATTTTTTTGTCTCAGGCAAATTACCATCTGATTGACATTTGTATATTTATTACACAAATATAAGGTAATAAAATGTGCAGCTTTGCTATTTACTGAATTTTATTGACTTGCAAAATACAGAACAGCTGTTTCAAACGCTTTTCAAATTTCACCGGAATTTACTGAACTGTGTATAATTCAAATACGCTATAATACAGTACTGTACATACAATATAGCTTATTGCAGATTTGCTACTGCGTCTCGTAGGCTCAGCTTTGGCAGTTTATGATAAGCTTTGATGAGTATATTTGTAATTGACGGAAAACGACTTTCTTCTTTCGTTATGTTTTTTTGCACATGCAGCATTAGCCTCAGGTAGCTAGCCAGACGGGTTACCAAGGCAGAGTGGGCAAGTAAGGGAAAAAAAGATTTTTTTCCTTGTTATGTATAAAAAGATCCAACACGAACAATACAGACGGGCTACTTGATTACTATAAGCAAATTATTTAAACAGTATTTGTGCAGGGAAGATTCTATCCCAAGCTTTTTGATCCATATAAGCAGCTGGCCACTATAACTGTGATCACTATAAACAGGTTCCGCTGTATGTTAAATATCGCTAGTGTTGAAACAGATTGGTGTTACTTTTGGTAGCTGAAACTGTCTTTCTGCAGGCTTGATATTTGACCTCTTTTTGTTCGGCGTCATCTTCCCTAAAGCCAGGCTGTGTCCAAATGACGGACACGGCATTTTTCTTCGGTACAAGCTGCTGGTGTTGAGACAAGATGACAAGATCAGACTCGCCAGACGGACACATTCTGACAATAAATAGAAAGTAAATAGTACCGGATGAGCAGATAATCAACCCCCCTGTCTTTGGTTGTGGTAGGAAGTTAGGGGTTTTCAGTGTCGAATGTTTATGACCTTCGGTCTTGCCGTAGTACTGAACCAAACACACACTCTGTAATTAGCTGTGGGGCTGAAAAGGGAGGGAATACCCCCCCTAAATAATTTTTAAAAATCCATGGAAACTTTTGGGAGTGTGTCAAGGTTTTCAGTTAAAGAATGTTTTTAAAAGACTCAACGATGAGCCAGTGTGACGTGCGGAGAGCAATGAAACACTCGCTGTCCCTTTCGGGTGGAATTTCCTGCATCAAAATACACACATATGCAGGAAAAGAAAAAGAAGAAGACAAAATCGGTAATGAGGAGGAAGGAGATCCACGGCGGCCCATGAATCTGCTGGATTCATGAAATGCCCATTTTTGTCAAATCTCAGGACCATAATATTGAATTACTTGGGTCTTGCTTTTCTGAATAGTTGCCATGGCTGCCATGCCGATGAAACGGTTAATAAAAGAACACAGTCATCCTGGCAAGACCCGGTCAGAATAGGTGACGGACAATGAGAGCAGCCAGTGAGGAATCGCAGTCTGACACCTACAAGGCCTGGTCAAGGCTGGACGTGCTCTGAAATAATTTGCGCTCCGACTGCCTGCCCGGCGGTTTCCATAGGAACAGTGCTGCCCCGCATCCCATCCTTCCGTTGCCCAAACGCGCGAGTCACCGGACGCCTTTCATCGCTGGGGTTTGAACGCAATTTCCTGAGAGAGGAAGATCTTTATTACAGTGTTGTTGAGTAATGCCTTGCCGTGCAGGAAAGGAGGTCATGTGAAAAAGGAGGTTTTTTTCAGGGGGGGTGGATCTTGAAGCCACTGTCTGTCATTCAGCAGAAAGACACCACAAACTAGACCCTGGGGATGTGCACTAAGGGAGACCCTTTTAAGTTCCTTCAATCAATAAGCCAGAGCCTATTCATTTGTGCACATCCTTTTAGTGGACGCATTAAGGATAAAGGGTCAACCATTAGCTCAGCACCGAAAGCACAAGCAGTGGCCCAGCCAGGGTGTGTATGGGGGCGGGCTCACAGGGGCATGGTGAAAGCTGATTGGCTCCCAAAATGCCACCTCGCCTATCGGGTGTTTCAACCAAACCATGTTTTCCTTTCCTAACTCAAGTACTACTCAGAAGTAAAAAGTACTACTCAGAAGTAAAAGATCCCATATATTGCATCTTAATTTACAAAATGTCAAACTCCACATCGTTTAAACGCTGAAGGCTCTTTTAATTGCAAAAATCTTTTGCAACAAATTGGTTTAGTCTACGCTGATATGATTGTACGTTTAGTTCTCCAGTTGAATGGAAAATTACGACGTGAACCAATTTCAGTCAGCACATAGACCCATGATCCTGCAGTCATCCGACACAGACACAAAGACAAATTATATATCACCTGATGCATTTCTTGTCATTTTTAATAAACTGACAAAATGAGTCATCAAATCTATCCCTACCTAATAGTTTTAATAAAACTTAAAATATAAAATTCTTGGAAATGAATTAACATATAAGCATTGGACTAAAAGCAAAATACCAGCCAATAGCGCCCCCTTCTGGAGTCATGTTAAATCATTTTAAATGTATTTTTTTATTTCTGGGGTAGATGTAAGGGCAGGTACGCTGGTAATAATACAGTAAAATCTGACGACTTGTGTCGCTATCTGGTCATTTCCAAATGATATATTCTGAAAGCATCTGTAAAATGTATGCTTTTTTTAGAAGCATGAAAACACGCACTAACCAAAAGGAAAGAGGACAAAACATGCATAACACATTTTGATTCCTCGTATCTACTATGACTTATAGCCGTATTAAAAGATACGTATATATACGTAGTGTGGGACCCAAGCAGCAGCGTAGAAATTGCTGTAGCGTTTGGCTTCGGTTTCAGTTCAGACCGCTTCGAAGTCTCGCGACAGATGAAGTGGGTGCAGGTCCAGTACCTCAAGCCAAACTGTCTTTTATTAATATAAAATAATATAACTAGTAATGCTTACTAGTAAACATAATATTGAAATTGAATATTGAAAAAAAAAATCAATTTTTACTAGTAAGAATTGTATTTTTAGTAGTAAGAATTCATATTGTAGATCTGTTATTCAGTTTTTATTAGTCATATATTCCCATTGTCATCCATTGTACTTTGACCTCACATCCTAAATTCAATTTTTACCAGTAAAAAGTCATATAGTAAAGATCTATAATTCAATTCTTACTAGTAGGGATTCCTATTGTAGATATCTGTAAATACATTTTGACTAGTAAGAAGTTTTTACTTGTAGCAATTTAATTAAAGATCTCTACAATGTAATTGTAGAAATCTGAAATTACACTTATCCAAAATGTGAATGACTAGTAAAAATTGAATTACAGAGCAGAGTTTTTACTAAATGATTATGTTTTACTAGTAAGAATGTTATTTTTAACTAGTAAGAATTAAGCTGTGACGAGTAAGCTTAATACTAATAAAAGACAATTTGGCTTGCCAAAGGACCAATGACAACCTAAACTTCCCTTTTTACTAAAAAGAAAACTCTCGAAAGCGAAGACAGATCTTATCGGTATCATCCTGCTCATTACCTAATGCCGATTACGGTGCTGTCGGGAGTTAGAACGCTGTGTCGCTCAAGTGGTTTAAAACATGCGGGCATTTGTTACACCACTAGAGGGCAGTGACACCTCAGTTTCGTGAACTGGCAACCGTTCATGCAACGTTCACCTACCCTGCGTGTCAAGTTTATTTATGCTATTAACGACTTAAGTTCAAATGCAAAAGGCAAATGTACTCTTTTCCTGTTTTTATTACAAGGTGTGCAGAGGACGCACTATTCATTTGCAATGTAGTCTAAAAAGAGTTCATTTAAAACTCATTCAGCTTATTTAAACCGTCTAAATGAGGAGCGGCAATTTAAAACCCTGTTAAACCCAGACCCATTTTAGTGTGGAGCTAACGGGTTATAAATACACTGAATGACATGGAAAACAAAAGTGTCTAGAAAAGATAAAGGAATCATATATTTAGAAGACTGGATGTTTTTTGCTACAGGAGTCCCCTGACATTTACAATAATGAGATTTATAGCTTAAAACGGCTTAGAAAATAAATACAAAAACGTTCTACAAATTCCAGTGTTTTCCAGTGCCTGTTCCCAATACCTAGGTACAAACCTGAAGCTGCATGTGGATGACATTCCGAGGCGTGCAGGAGACAGGAACGGCACAGGGTTTGTTTCCCATAATGCACCAGCACGGAGGCGCCTTTGTGGGGAACGATAAAAGCGCGACTGTCCTGCGTATCCACCGTAATCTTAATAGAGACGTAAATAGCAGAAGTTCATGCGCACGAAGCAGAATCTGGATAAATGTGGGGTGGGCTCTGTCTGAGACGATCTCCTTCTTTATTACTTATGGCAGACGGCTGGCATTTTTTAATCCTGGGAAAGAAGTGCTTAGGGGTGGGAGGATCAAGAGGGGGGGGGTGGACTTGGGCAAAGGTGTGTGGGCTCATGCCACAGGGAACAGAACTGGGTAGAAATGGACTTAGGGGTAATAGATGCAGCCCTGATGTGGAGGGTGTTCAGCTCCCCCCCCCCCCCCTCGGGGTATCTATGGCCTCTGAAGCACAGACCAGACACGGAGTCATGTCAAGGTGGCACATTGAATTGCCTGAAGGGGGTAGGGGGCTGCGGTGGTGTGCCATCGGACTTCACAGGCCGCTGTGATATTATGTTAATTCCCTCCCCTCCCCCCAGATACTGCTGCTATTTTAACATTGATGTCACTATTTTCTCATGTGGTCCACTTTTTTTTTTTTTTTTTTTTTTGGGGGGGGGGGGGGGACGGATGCTGCATCAGATCACCCCTGAGTCATATCACCCAGGTGGTGCTGGCAGTCTCCACAGAGATAATCCCGGCCCTTCAGCAGATTCCACGCGTGTAAACATATCGATTCCCGGGCACTTATGGGCATCCGGACAAAAATCTCAAGAAAGTCCCTCAAAGTAGTTTCAAGTCGGCATCTCCTTTGCACCAAAGGTCCTTATCCTTCAAATGCCTTGCTGTCTTACGCTTTCACAGCTGTCCATTCAAAAAGCATTCACGTGTTTGATTTCAACTCATGATTTATTGTTCCATTACATTAAAAAGTTCCAATTTCACGTTCCGATGTAAACCAGTTCTTGCTTACAGTGGGCAATTGTCAACAGTGAG